TAATTATTAATTATATAAATTATTAAATTTTTATCTTAAATTTATATTTAAAAAAATAAAAAAATAAAAAAATGAATTAAGATGATTAAAAAAGAATAAAGGAAGTAATACTTAATACATTAATATAGCTATCAATATATATATATATATATAAGTATTGGTCGTCACTACTTATTCACTACTTGTAGTTAAATAAATTTTAAATTATAATAAATTAATTTTTTAATTATAAGTGGATATCAATAATGTTGATATGTTATACTGTATTAGTGAATTGAGATACCATTAATATTGTTGTACAATAAAATTTCTCTAATATAAGTGTTATGCTAATTTTTAGTAGTATTTTAAAATTTTAATAATTAATATAATACTTAAATTTCTGAAATAATCCTTTAAATTTCTAAAATTTAAAATATATACTAACTAAAAATTACTATGAAAATTTCTTAAACATACACTAATTTAGCAAAATATTTTAATTACTAAAATGTATTTTTTGGAACTTTGGGGCCGTTTGGCAAAACTTTTTCTGAAGTTGCTTTTGAGCAAAATTTTCAAAATTTCTGTCTGTTATTTTTGAAAAATTTTAGAGAGAAAACTTAACTTTTTGGGAAAAAGTTGCTTATAAGTTAGTTTTGCAAAAAAATAACAATTTATTGTCTCCTCCAATTAAAATTTACTATTTTAGCACTATTTTATTAAAAAATAAACATTTTCTCCAAAAAATTTTAAATCCAGGAAAAAAAACATTTAAAAATTTTTTACTAAAAATCAACTCTAAAAAAAGTCTTGTCTAACAAACTCTTAAACTCTTTAAGTAAAACTTCTCAAAAATAATCTTTTTTTTTATTGGATAATGTATAATGTTTCATTCATACTATGAAATTGACTCACCAAGCCTACATATGAAATAGGCAACTTGTGCCTCATTCTTGAAATATATATCTTCCTTTTTTTGGAAACTTGACAACCTCAATTTTCATGCAATTTTCACCCCGAAGAACATGTATAATCAGACATACATAGAATATGGATTACAAGATTTTTTCCTAAAATTGCCCAGACCTAATCAAACTTACTTAGTTTACACCTTTTTATATCTCTCTCACGCATTAGTAAATCCTTTTTTTTTTTTTTTGGGGGTTCGAATTTTTTTTAGTTTCAACGTTTCTATTAATGTGCTTTTAAGGGTGCATGATAATTTATTAAAGTCACATAAATTAAAATAAAAATATGAAAAAAAACTATAATAATCTTTGTTTTGGTGTGTTGTAAGTTCATAATAATTTATTAAGGTTATATAAATTATTATTTTTGTATTTGGTTTTATTGATATTTACTTCTTCAATCTCAACATTTTTTTGATTTAAAATTTATTTTAAAATAATAATTATTTTTTTACTTTAATCTTATAATTATTTGTTTACTTTAATTATTTATTCTATACTAACTTAAATCGTATTATTTAATTTCCCTTTTAAAGATAATATTTTATAGTATTTTTGTCTAAAAAATTGAATTTAAAGTGATTTCAATCTTTTTAGTTTTAAAGAAAATATTAACAAATTTCATGACTTCTTTTTTTTAATAAATTTTTTTTTAATGAAACAACTTTCATGACTTACTCTTAACAAATTCTTGCGTACGCATAACCACATCCGTTGATCTCGAACTCCACCAGAATCCTGTATCCGAACGGGGTCCCGCAGGGTCGGGGACCCTTTTCCCATCTTCGTCCCTGTGATTCCCTGTGGGGATTTTTGACGGGGGGCAGATTTTGCCTCCCGTCCCTGTTTCCCACGGGGAACGGGGATCCCCACGGGGATCCCCATTCCCCACCAATTAACATCAAATAGCTCCAGAAACAGTAGCAAAGCAGATGGCTTAGGCTGTTTGGTGGCGGCAGCAGCAGCAGGCTCCGGTGGCGGTAGCAGCAGCAGGCTCCGGTGGCGGTAGCAGCAGCAGTAGCAGGCCCTGATGGCGGTAGCAGTAACAGCAGCAGCAGTAGCAGGCCCTGGTGGCGGTAGCAGTAGCAGCAGCAACAGATGGGTCTAGCAGCAGCAGTAGATGGGTCCGGCAGCAACAGCAGATGGGTCCAACAGCAGTAGCAGATGGCTCCTGCAGCAGCGGTAGAGCAGATGGCTTTGGCTGTTCAGCAGCGGCAGCAACAGCAGCAGCAGAGCAGATGGCTTTGGCTGAACAACAGCAGCAGCAGCAGATGGGTCCGGTGGTGGCAGCAGCATATGGTCCGGCAGCAACAGCAAATGGTCCGGCAGCAACAGTAGATGGCTCTGGTGGCAACAGCAGCAACAGCAGGGAAACTGAAGGTGAGATGGACGTGAGAGATGTGTGAAGCTGCAGTTAAAGAGATTGAGTGATGAGAATTAAAATAAATTAGGGTTAGGGTTAAATGTAGGGTAGGGGAATGGGTTGGGTTGGGAGTTGGGTTGGGTTGGGGAATGGGTTGGGTTGGGAGTTGGGTTGGGTTGGGGAATGGGTTGGGTTGGGAGTTGGGTTGGGTTGAATAGTATTGGATTAAATTTAATTGTAATTGGATTAAATTTGGGTTTGAGTTTGAGTTTGAGTTTAAAGTTAGGTTTGGGTTTGAGTTTAAAGAATAAATTAATTTTAAAATAAATTTTTTTTTTTTTTCAGGGATGGGATCCCGCGGGCCCCACGGGGCGGGGAAAATTCCCCGCCAAAGAAAATGATCCCCGTCCCCGCCCCATCCCCGTGGCAGGGATTCCCGCGGGGCCCCGCGAGGAACGGGGAGAATTGCCATCCCTAATTCCGAAGCCCCTCCTCTTCCGAAAACAAAGCCAGTTTGAGTCTCACCCCTTTCTCCATCTCTTCCGTGCGCCAATCTGCGGCAATGACCTCCATCACCTCCGCCGACTTGAATTACCTCGTCTTTCGTTACCTTCAAGAGTCTGGTTTGTTCAATCTTCTGCAAGTTTCCTCTTAAAAGTTTCATCTTTTCAACTGATTTCTACCTGCATATGCTTCCCCCTATCTCTTTCCTATCTTAAGAACATATTTAGGGTTTGGATTTCGGTTTTCAATTTTGTAATTGCAATTTATTCATCAGCTTATCTGCTTACATATAGAAAATTAAGTAGTAATAATGATATAATTAAATCATTGTTGTATATGTTTTTTTGTTCTTCTGAGCTATAATCTCAAGATGTATTTTTTGTACCATTATTTAGAAAAATTAACGGGTAATAGTGGATCCATGGACATTGATGTATCTTCCATTCTCATTATACCCAGCATATATAAGTGTTTTTTTCAAAATGCTTGAGTTTCCAGACATTCTGTTAGGGTTTTCCTTTCTGAAGTATAAATATGTTCTTATATGCCCCCCTATCATTCTCTTGCAGGTTTTACACATTCAGCTTTTACTTTAGGATATGAGGCAGGTATTAACAAAAGTACCATTGATGGAAATTTGATTCCGCCTGGTGCTCTCATTACATTTGTTCAAAAAGGGTTGCAGTACTTGGAGATGGAAGCAAACTCAAGTAATGTTAGTGTGCATGATTTTCTTTTTTGCGGTATTGAATTTGGTTATTGGAGAAGTCGTTTTGCTTTTCCTTTGCTCTTTGATTTTTGGAGGGATACTTTTAAGTTCTTATCTTCATTATGGTTTTTTTGTGAGGCTTGCAGAGCAATGCAGATATGGATGAAGATTTCTCATTCTTGCAACCTTTGGACCTAATAACAAAGGATGTTTATGAACTGCAACAGTTGATAAAAGAGAAAAGGAAAAATATCCAAAAGGATAGAGATAAAGATAAGGAAATGGATAAAGATTGTGATAGGGAAAATGATGGTGAGCTTGCACAAGGGCGAGTGAGGGAGAAAGAAAGACATGAAAGCGATAAGGAGCAAGAAAAGGATAAAGTGAAGATAGAAAGAGAGAAGGAGCAAGAAAAGCAGAGTGAGGAACAGGCTGATACAGAAATGGTTATGGAGCAAGAGGATAAGGATACTATTAAACAAGAAGAAAATGGAACTTCTGGAGGTTAGTTAACTTTACTGTAGAGCTTTGCGTTTCTTAGCTTTTTGTTTGTTTCTTTACTCAAAACTTTTATTTTTATGGAAGCTTTGAAGTTTACCTTGAATCCTAACTTTGATTTTCAGAACATTTTCTCTTAATCAGTATCGTTCTTATGTTTATAATTTTTTTCCCCTATTCAATTTTTGCTGCATGTTGGGATGCCGCTTGTGTATGGTTGTTTTGCTTTTTAATCATGGGAATGACATAATTGGGATTTTAGTTTGTCAAAACTGAGTAACAAATGAGGTAACAATGTTCCAAAAGTTTAGGAATTTAATTGGTCAAAAGAAAGGCCGAATCTGAACTAGTTAATAACAGCTTCATATTAGAAATGTTCAATTCTTCATACTATCTGGGAACACCTTTGCATAAGTATAATGTTTACTCTATCAACAAGATGTTTTAATTTAGTATCTTGATTATCAAGGTTTATTTGGATTTGTATAGTTATTCATACAAGTTTCACTCCCATTGCATGGATAAAATAATGGAGCTTGTCTATTAAATTGCTAATTTATGTTCTGCTGGATGGTTGACATTCTTCCACCTTCCTATATCTCTCCATATCTTTGTATATGTTTGTATGTGCACACACTCTATATTTGTACTACAAATATGAGGGTTGTGTCTACATATGTGGATGTTTTATGATTTGTCAATGTGATCAGAACCAATGGATACTGTGACTTCTTCTTCCTTAACATATGAGGCTTTTCAAATTCCTTGTTCTGATGTGACAATTTTGGAAGGACACACTTCTGAGGTTTGATTCTTTTACAAAACTATCATGCATACATAGATGGAGACACACACAAACACATGACATTACCCTTTTTTTCTCTAAATAGTCACTTCTTGAATTCTGTTTTCTTTTTAGGTTTGTGCTTGTGCATGGAGTCCAACTGGTTCACTTCTTGCATCAGGGTGGGTATAATTTTTGCAGTTCTTTTTGCTTGGCTAAAACAGGAATGATTGTGTCTGTTTGATATGCATCCCATCCTTAATTTCTACATTTTAGCATTTCTTATTTGAACTTCATTTTTGTTATTGCTTCATAAGATCTGCTAAGTCCATTCCTTTTGTGCCTATATAGTAAAGTCATTTCTTGGTGTGTTTTATTTATTTATTTATTATTGTTATTATTATTTTTACTTTACATGATATCATCTAATTCAATCAGTAATGTGATTTTGGTGCTGTTTGAACTCTGAGGGCTGCCTGGTTTTCTTCTCATCATAATATCATTTGCACTTCATTCTTGTACCCCCCCCTCCCCTTCAGATCTGGAGATTCAACAGCTCGTATTTGGACAATAGCTGAAGGGCCTTGTAAACCGGGTGTGTGGAATAGTCCATTAAATGTTTTGGTGCTGCAGCATGTGAAAGGAAAAACAAATGAGAAGAGCAAAGATGTAACAACACTTGATTGGAATGTAAGATTTGTTGCTCTGCTGTGGCTTAAGTCATTCATAAAATATTTTAATCTTTTCAAATCATGGTTCTCTTGCTGAGTCCAGAAGTTGTAAGTTATCATTTGTTCAAATGTGATTTAAAAGATTTCATTGTACATGGACTTTCCTTGTTATAAATGCTATTAGTATCTAAGAAAAACGATTATCTTGTTTAAAAGGACTAAATATACTTGAAAAAACAACCAAACCTAGAATCCTAGGGAATTGTGGCTAAATCATAATGGCTCTTGTTTTATTAGTAGTTTTGCTGTATTTCATGTAGTAATTTAATTTGTCAAATGTATGAGGGGATATGGCAATTTAGAAGGGGTTGAAACTGAAGCGAAGAGGGCAGCTTTTGTGAATCAGTAACAGAACTATTGAAAGATTTCCTAGCATAAAGATTGCAACTCTGGAAGTTGTATATGGTCCTAATATTTGTGGGGCAAGGACCCTTCTTCAGCTGAAAATCCTCTTCTTCACGGAACAGGGGAATCCCGGTTCCACTTGGTCCATTTTCTAAGCTGTAGTCCATGGTTGAACATAAGTGAAAGTTGATCGTTATAGGCTTTGTTAGAATCACCATGACATCAATTCTTTGGTTAAGGAATTTGGAATGGGAGAGCAGTTTTGTGCAATTCAAATGCAAGCAGTTAGATTGATGCATCAATTGATGACACTAATGGTGGGCATATAGTGTGCTAGTTGATCTATTCAGTTATATTATTTTAGTTACAGTTTTTGATTTAATGGCTTAATGCTAATATTTTTGCCTGACCACTAGTTTTATAATTCTTTAGAAAAGAAATTAGTTCTGTTCAGTGTTTATATTATTTGTGTTCCTTAAAAAAGAATGAATTAAATTGGAATTTATGCAAACATCACTTTAGCTGCTTGTCTATTTGCCTATCATTATCCCTTATATATATATATATATATATATATATATATGTTTTCCTGCTGTACCCAGGGGGAGGGAACATTGCTTGCAACAGGTTCATATGATGGACAAGCAAGAATTTGGACCACAAATGGTAAGTTGAATTAGGGTAGTTTTTTAATGGTATCTTATATTGAAGAGGCAAGTGCCCACTTCATGTCAAAAATATGATTTGTTGATATTCTTCTTGTTTCCTTCAATACAATTTCCTTAACGATTGTGTAAATCCAGGAAAGTAATCCACTATTGACCTGATAAGAACCTTTCACATGTTTTTACCAATTCTTCTTTACAAGGATGGTATAACATTGAATTATTTTGGGCAACTTTTTTTTCTTGATAACGCCTTGTAGATTTTATAATTCTATGACCTGTAAACAAAGGATATTATTACCATCTGTTTAAGAAACTCTTGTTTGCGGTTACTTATTGTAAATGTAAATTTTTCCCCAAATTCTGATACTGGAGTTCCTTTCTTGCTGTATTTTGATAATGGTAGAACTCTTTTGTGATTCATAATCATGCTTTGATATGATTTAAAGCTTTTGGGAATTTTAAACAGATCTGTTGTTTCACTCTTCCTTTCTTTATTTCTTTTCCTTTTGGGTGTAGGTGAACTAAAGAGTACATTGACTAAACACAAAGGACCAATATTCTCTTTAAAATGGAACAAGAAGGGTGACTATCTTCTTACTGGAAGCTGCGATAAAACTGCAATTGTGTGGGATGTAAAAGCAGAGAAATCGGAAGAACAGTTTGAATTTCATGCAGGTGCTGAGATGGCCTGAATCTTAAACATGGACTTTATTTGGATTAAGCTTTTCATTTCTCAAAATGTTCAAACTTGTTATTCGTTTAGGTCCAACCCTTGATGTTGATTGGCGCAACAATGTCTCTTTTGCGACTAGCTCTACTGACAATATGATATATGTGTGCAAGATTGGAGAATCCCGCCCCATTAAAACTTTTGCAGGGCATGAGGTTTGTATGCCTGTCGATCTTTTAGTTTGTAAGTCATTGTATTAGTGTTTGTTTTCTGGATCTGGTGAAAGTTCATTCTGGCATCAGGGTTAATTCTGAGAAAGAAATACCACTCTAATGCATCTTCTGCATGCTAGGGTTGACATCCCAAACCTGAATGTAATCCTCAGGCTTTCCTTTTCTTTTTATAACAATAAAAAATGGAATATACCATTTTTCTTCAGTTTGCATGTCAGATCTCATGGAATGTGTATGTGGACTCTGCCACTATCTCTGGTGTCTCTGACAAATAGACAAAATCATCACGCACTTTTCATTTGCTGGATTTAAATTTGCCTGCCTTTGGTAAAATGCAAACTACCTTTTTTTCTAAACAAAAGAAGAAAAATTTTATGAAGTTAGCTGGAAAAACATGCAAACCATTAGCTTTTCTTATTCAAGCTTTACTGTAGACCTATTTTTTTCAAGAGAAATCTTCCTTTTTCCCATCTTATATGTTTTCGTGGAGATTATTGAGACAATGATATAGAGCCCTGTGGCTTCAGGTTACCTGGTACCTCTATGCTTCAAATAATGACTAAACGACAGTATCTTACCTTATGTTTTCGTTTGCAAAACCTTACTCTTCTCTGTTAAACTGTATTGAGAACTCTTGTGGCTTATAATTTTAAGCTTTGTGCTATTTCAGGGAGAAGTAAATTGTGTCAAATGGGATCCAACTGGTTCATTGTTGGCGTCATGCTCTGACGATATCACCGCAAAGGTTATACTTTGTAGCTTTTCATTGCTGGTTACTAATGTCCTTGGTTCTATGAAATACATGATCTCTTTTTAACTTTGCTTCCTTTGTTTTTAATTGTTATTTTTGAGTAAAAAAGTATTCCAGATTGTTTCAATTATTGTGCTTTGTTTCTCTTGGTTATAGTTCTATCTCATTTTTTCTAAGGCTTCTCATATATTCTGCCTTATTTTACATTTTAGTCTCAACTCACACAAGTTATGGTGCAGATATGGAGCATAAAGCAGGATACCTGTGTCCATGATCTGCGGGATCATTGTAAGGTACTGCTGGCTTCACTCAGCTTTTATTTTTATTTTTTATCCAGTATTATTTGTTTCTGCATTCATGTCATACGAAAAGTTTTCATGTATTCTGACTAAGATTTGTACAACTGAACCACAGGAGATATACACCATCAGATGGAGTCCTACAGGACCTGGGACAAACAATCCTAACCACCAATTAATTCTTGCAAGGTGAAAACAATGGTTTAACAATATAGATATAATTTTTTAGCATTCAACTGCCGAGACTTTGTGTTGGAATTTCACATTCAACTCATCATTATTTAATGCCACTTTGAGTTGGTGTAAATTCTCTTCTCATAACGATGATAGTTCTCGAGTTCTCTTATAGAATAGAATACAGCTTGGTCTTATGTGCTGTGTCATATTTTTTGGCACTTTCTGGTTCTCTTTTCCATGTAGTGCATCATTTGACTCCACAGTGAAGCTGTGGGACGTGGAACAAGGAAAGCTTCTTCACAGCTTAAATGGACACCGGTACCTGAACTAATCTATATCTATTTCTATGGTTCTATATAAATCACCAATTAGCTCAATTTTTTTAGACTAATGGAACTGAAATACAATCAAGCACTCATGATCAGCCTCTCTTTTCTTATCATCTCCTGGATATTTAGGCTTTTGCTTGGACCCTTTTATTGTCGGTACTCATGACTGTTTCTAAATTGCTGTATTTGGCGGTGGTTCAAGGAGACCTTAAATTTCTTGAAGAGTTGAAGTTAATCATTACTTTTTCGGGCTTCAGAAGCTAATCACACTTTTTTTTGGAAAGGCAAAGAAAAGTTTTTATTATTATAGGGAGTATAAAGAATATTCCAACCTTTACAACAAAACTTTACATCATCATGTGTTCATCGGCCTTGAAGGAAAAGAAGCTAATCATGCTTAAGCCATGTTATTTGTTCTTTGGAGGTAATAATCTGCATTGGCCTTCAAGTTGTTTTTTTGACGTGTTTATTTTAATTGAACTGCCAGGGATCCTGTGTACTCTGTTGCATTTAGCCCAAATGGAGAGTATTTGGCCAGTGGATCTCTTGATAGATCCATGCATATTTGGTCATTAAAGGAGGGAAAGATTGTAAAGACATACACTGGCAATGGGGGCATATTCGAAGTGAGTTGGAACAAGGAAGGCGACAAGATTGCTGCGTGTTTTGCCAACAATACGGTCTGTGTCTTGGATTTCAAGATGTAACAACTCAAAAAAGCCACCCATCTCAGGACTTAAATGGTTTGGTCTCAGAAAACTAGCGATGTTAGTTGTTTATTAGAATGGAAAACTGTAACTAATCTAGGTAGACACAAGTGCAAACCGATGCTGGAATTACTCATTGAATTTGATATTCATTTTAGGTGTAGTGCTCACAGAATTGGCAGCAAAGTATCCTCTTATTAGCAGCTGCTTTGCCTTTTTCCAATTAATATTGTTCAAATACTTTGATTTGATCTTTATATCTTTGGTGTAAGAGTTTCAGCCTGTGCTAAGAGATAATATTGATGATTATTAATCTTGTTCAAATAACTGTCTAGCAGTGTCAGTTGTCATAATCCTGAACAATTTTCTTGATTACAGCATTTACAGTTCTCACCACCCAGGCAACTGGATCCAATATCTTTCATTTTCTTAATGGGCTTTCTCATTATGGGCCAATTCTCCACTGGACAACTGCTTCAGTTGGAATATACTGTACACAAAAGCACAAATTGAATCCACCATGGGAAATTTCCAGTTAGAGGTTTTATATCTTTAAATTTTGAAAGGGTATGGTAGAGAGGGATTTGAAAAATAAGAAAGACTCTATGTCCCTTATATAACATAATCCAAGAGAATTCAAATCTTGCGAGGGCACCCATGTGTTCTAGCCGTCCATGGCAACCTGATTAATCATGGTTTTCCCTAAATTGAAAATAATGTACGACCATCTTCTATATTAACAACCATTTCTTCTAAAATCAAGCCCTTGACCAAATTCTTAAAGGAATCATCTACAAAATCCCATGCCCTAAAATTTCAAAGACACTTTGATTACCTTCAGGAACGACCATGAGAGCTTTGCTCTGAAAGTTCACCAATCCTGACCAGATTACTCATCCCTGCCCTTACCCACCAACCCTAACCTTATTGGTCTTTAATTACACTGTATATGGTTTATGTTGAATGGTCAAGAGTTTTTATTTTTTATTTTTTATTTATTTTATCAACTAATAAATTTTAAATTTTATTATTTTAAAATACAAAGGGTACTCTAATCATTAAACTGATATAATCAATCATTTGAAATGAAAGAAATCTCACTTTTACTAAGAATAAAAAAAAAAAGGAATTTATATATATATATATATATTTACCCTTTATCTATATATAATTATAGAAACTTAATTAGACTCATGGCTTGCAAGTTTTGAGTTTAGGCCTTATTCCTTTATATAATATCATTTAAATAGGCATTTGGGGTTTGACATGCTAAAAGAAATTTATTTGTTAATTAATTTTAAAATTTTAATTTAATTTAATTTTCTGAAATTAGAAGAATATGTCTAAAATTCAAATATGTTTTTGGCAATTAAAGGTCATCTTTTCATAGTGGTGTTTTTTTTGAGAGAGCATATCCCTTTGGCTAATGTCTCTTTGAAGAATCACATTTCTTTAGGAGGTGTCCACATGTTCTATATTTAATTTTAAGAGAGTTTTTGAATTTTATTGTATTCTAAAGGATTTTTGAATTTTTAAAAATAGCTAGTGACATCATACATAAGAACTTTTTTATTCTTCTATTTTCTGGTATCTTTTTCTAACAGTTTATACATGTTCTTGCATATATATAACATGAGTATCCGAACTTCAGCTTAATTAGTTCGATTTGCATGTGTTCTTGGTAGGCTGCTCGATTCTGGAAAACCCAACAAACATGAAGTTTGTTTGACTCGAGATAGATATATATATATATATATATGTGCATCCAAATGTATGTGAATTATGATTTATATTCCCCCCACTCCATTAAGTGTTTAAGGTAATAAATTACAAAACAAGGTGTTGATTACGGCATGCAGCATGCATGGTTGGGCTCGCAATGCTGACTGTTGATGTTGAATACGACTTTTGATTCTCTGTATATTGATGATACACACAGCAAAGCCTAAGAGGTTACAGCAGGCTTAATTTGTTAAATTAATTTTGTGTGGATGTATTACGACAGGAATATTGTTCTATGTTTGCCCCTTGTCTGGAAACTGTTAGATTCAGTTTCAACGTTTTGTTGTAATAATTTGATTTAATTTGTCAAAATCTATATTAGTTTTATTTGCTATATATATATATATAATTTCAGTTAAATTCGAGTTGAAGTCTTGATGCATTCTCAAATATCCACGAAAACCAGCTGTATAGTTGTCGGCCAAAAGGAAATAAAGAACCTGTACTTAGTCTAATGCATGTCTATTAAACCTAAAAAAATTGACTTCAAACATTGATTTTTTTAATAATGAATTAATATATTATCTGTCATTTATAGCTTTTTTTTTTTTTCTTAATCAACACCTATCATTTATAGCTTAATTTGCTGTTTTTCAAAGTAACACTTCATTTTTTTGTTATGGTCAAAGAAACACTTAACTAAACGGAGAAAAAAAGAGTTTTCATTTTAAATAAACTTCAATGACACCCTATAGTTCCAACATAGATGATTTTTTCTTCTTTTTTTTTGGTTTGGATAGTCTAGGGTGTCAATTAATCTCTCTCTAGTTGGTCTCCTATACATTAGTTTGGTGCATTTAAATTAATTTCTGTAAGTGTTTACCTCAAAATTTAGAATCTAAATTTAACGTATAAAATAACACTTATTTATTAATAAATTTAACTTTTAAAACTAACGATTTATTGATTTGAGTGAAAAGAACTCGATTTCTTTTAAAATTTTGAATTGGTGTCTTATGAATAAAGAAATATGCATTGGGAGAGTTTCTCTCATAATGAAATCTGACACGATTCGATTTCAAATTAATCGAAACTCAATATAATTACTGGATATCATTTGAGGGCCCAAATTGCAATAAGGAAGGTGTTATCTTGGGACCTAAGTGAATGAATATTGAGTTTTGGGATCTAAATGCTCAGTATGCAAAATTTGAAGGACCAGTTTTACAATTTTACCATTGAAAAATTACAAAAGAGGACAGAAACCCGACACGGGTGTGGTGTCGACCCATAATTTTGGTGTCGACACCTTACGGCAAGCATTCAAAATCACAGTTTCTGTCTCTTATTCTGCGGCAACAAAGTGCAGGCTAAAGTTTTTTAACAACTTGAAAGTGCTCTTGTGTTAATATATTAGAATGGACTGATCTTGTAAATTTGTGCCTTTCAAGTTAAAATATTTATGGGTTTGGGTACCCCGTACTCCATTTTTAATAAATATTATTTTTTGTTGTTCAAAAAAACAAAAAAGAAAGAGGTTAATACCAAAAAAAATTCAACCTTTAAAGTTTCCAACACGCATCATATTATATGTCTATTTAATCTTCGGAACAATCCTAAATTTTCAAAGTCTTAAGCATGACGGTCAAGGGAGAAGGTAAGTATTTCATTTTGATAAACAAGTAATTCAATTAATTTAATATAAAGCATAATTGTTGAGACTTCTATTCGTGAGCTGCTAGCTGCTAGCTATAGCTATATGTAGCTATAGCCTGGCTTTCTCATTCTTATATTTATCATTCTTCACACGCTTTGATCCAATGACACTTTACTTGCATAATCTACTTTAGTTACAATGCATTTTTTCAAGTTGGCATCTTTGTTGATGAGACGATGAAGCAAGAAAAGAAGGAAAGTCAGAAGACGCAAAGGATATATGGAAGATATGTATATGATTTTGGTTTTGTATTTACCAAATTCAAGCATATTTCTAAATTGTCACTCTCAAAAATGAGTTTGCTTGATGATTAATCCTTCCCCGCCCGCACACTTGAAGTCTCTTGTCCCTCTACCCAATTATTTCAGACTTTATTTTAGTGCTGTTAGCACTTGCAAAAATTCACGTGCTTGTTGTCGAATCTTGGGCTTTTCTAAGTAGTGCTCCCTTGCACATAATCTTATTCTTTTTTGTGATGTTTGTTGAATTCACGTGTGAACGTGATTTATCAATAAAATATATTTGAAGAAAGTAAGGAAAATATATACACACCGCAATTAACTAAAACTAAAGAAGGTCAGTATTTAACTTCGAAAGGTCCAAAACCACTTCATGTTATCTAAAAGAACATAAACAGCCATGGAGGATCCATGAACTTATAGGATCTAAGGTGACATCTAAAACCCAGTGGCAGAACTAGGTTGAGATATGGTTAAACACATTCCTTACCATGGTTTCTAAAAAATTGAAAAAATAAAGAGATCCACGTTAAGATTTTAAGTAAAAATTGTTAAAGGTCCTATCTTAAATATATTTGTAAAAAAAAATAAAAATAAAGACTAGAGTCTAGAATAGGAAAAAAAAAAAAAAAAACCCTAATCTTGGTTTATTTCTGGTTCTGCCACTGCTAAAACCTCCCTCACACTCAAGATGTACACTGCATGGTACATAAACCTTCAATTATACATGTGCTTAATCTCTTCTAGCCCTATACGTACTAAACTTAATTATGATGTTATTTAACTCACGAGGGAAATATTTGGGATTAATAGAAAAGCATGTGAGGGGCAAACTAATCAAACTTTTTTGGACATATATACAGTAGTACATCATGATCTCACATGGGAAAAGATGTGATGATGACCATGTTTGGCTTAAAAATTCAATGTTGTGGATAATGCTAAAAGCACAACTGCTATGGAGAGAAATTAGAGAAAAAGTCAAAAGAGAGGAGAGAGAAAAAGAGAAAAAAGAAAAGGAAGTTCAGAAACAATTAGCTAATGTGCATGAATGGGAGAGAAAAAGAGAGAGTAGTGTTTCTGAGGAAGCCTGATCATTCCGCCAATACAAAAGAACTGCAATGTTTCACGTTATGAGGCAATAAAGAAGGTAGATAGTTATGGTGAATTTGTCCTTACATATCCACTTTCTGTTGTTAGATGAAGACGAAGGAAACCATATACACTGCATGCACCCCTTTCCTTAGTTTTGAGTTGTCATTTTCGTGATTCACATTTTTCAACGGTTTAAAGATCTTTTAATTAT